GAGGCTGACGGAGTGGAAATGGCGGCGGCCGCTGCTGTGGTGGCAATAGCCGGCGGCGGATTGTTTTCATTTTTTTTGCCGCCACAGCTGAATTTTTCTGCTTTCCACTTTTTGATTTTTAATTTCTTTCAAAAGAGGCCATGGGCAAGCACAAGGAGAAGAAGGAGAAGAAAAAGTCCTCCAAGAAGCACAAGAAGGAGAAGAGGCATCGCCACGATTCAAGTGGGGACGAAAGTGGCGAAGGCGAAGTCGTCTGGGCTGAGGCCGGAGCTGAAGTTCCATCAACATCAACAACAGGTTCTAAATCTGCCGACATCAAGCCACCAGAAAAGCAAACCACTTCAGCTAAAGTCAGCAAAGATGAAAGCGATGATGAAGTTGAAGAGGAGGAGGTAGGTGGTGGTGAAAACGACTGGCTTGGCTTCATCGAGACAAAGTCGAAGGGCAACGTCAAACTGGCGCACCTGAAGCGGGACATTCTGAAGCGCGAACAGGCGACGGCGGACAATAAGGTTCGCTACGCTCGAGAGCTGAACTCCTACTTCCGAGATGACACCACAAAGAAGTTCATCGAGGACCCGGAAGCCTACTGGCAGGCGAAAGCATCAAAGTCATCGAAGGCGCTGGAGACGGACAGCGAAAGCGATGGCGAAGATGATAAAGAGTACGCCAGCGACGATGATGATGAAGAGGATCGCAAACCAACCAAACCAGGTACCTCTTTTTCCAAATTTCTAAATGACACTTAAATCCTAATCATCTTTTTCTTTTCACCTCCAGCTGCCAAAAAGCTCTCCGACAACGAGCGAAACGCCATCAACGCCCAGCTCGCCAAGGCGGAGATGCTCGGCAAGCGAGAGCTGGTCGCCGAGCTGAAGGCCAAACTAAAGGAGTCCGCTGAGGCCCCGGAAGATTCGGCCCACGAAGAGGAAGTCCACTACACCAAACGAAAGGCCAAGCCGACCGTCGCCGAGGAGGAGGCGATGACGGTGAAGGAGATGTACCTCAGCACGAAGAGCAGCATCAGCTCGCGCGGTGAGGCCGCCCGCTTCGTCGCCAGCAGCAGCAAACTGCGCCCGAAGTACGACGACGAGTACGAGGAGGTGAAGGGGAAGGGGAAGAAGAAGCTCAAGGTCCACCACGATCAGTTTGAGCGAATGCAAAGCAAAAACTCCTCCTCCTCCTCCGAGCCCTGCCAGGACTGCCTGGAAAGGCTGGGCAAGCACCTGGCGCTTCGATTTGCGCCTGAAAATCTAAGGCATCTTTTTGTGGCCTTCACCCCCACCGAGCCCTTCACGCCCAACTACTGCCAAATTCGATCTCGCTCCCACTCCACGGCCAACAACAGCGTCGAGGCGGACGATGAGGATCTGTGGCGCGAGCTCCGCCAGGTGATGCGCCAGCTGACGGCCTTCTTTGACCGCCACCTCGGCTGCGCCACGCTCTTCATGGAGACGCACTTTGTGGCGGCGAAGCGGGCACAGAACGCCTCCCGGCGCCACCTGGTCATCGAGGTGGTGCCCCTCAAGAAGAAGTACGAGGCCGATGCGAGGATTTACTTTAACGTAAGTGACTTTGAGTGGTGTCGTTCTGATTTCGAAATACCCTAATCCTCTTTTCGAAAACAGAAAGCCATCCTCGAGACGGGCGAAGAGTGGGCGACGAATCGGAAGCTGATCAAGCTGGAGGGCCGGCCCGTGACCAAAGTGATTCCCCGCGGCCTGGGCTACTTTTGGGTCGCCTTTGGGGGTGACTTTCAGGGTGGCTTTGCGCACGTCATCGAGGATGAGGACTACTTTAGTCGGGACTTTGGAAAGGTAAAGCTTTGCTTTTTTGTTGTGTTTNTTGGAGGGCCGGCCCGTGACCAAAGTGATTCCTCGCGGCCTGGGCTACTTTTGGGTCGCCTTTGGCGGCGACTTTCAGGGCGGCTTTGCGCACGTCATCGAGGATGAGGACTACTTTAGTCGGGACTTTGGAAAAGTAAGTTCTTTTGTATGTTAGTTGTTCTAAGCTGATCAAATTCTTTAACTCTTTCTCCTTTAGGAGGTAATCGGCGGCCTGCGAGACATTGAGCCCTCGCGGTGGAAGCGCCCCCGACACGAGGACTACGACCGGCAGATGCGCCGCGTCGCCGAGGTGAAGGAGAAGTGGAGCGAGTTTATGCAGGAGCACAGTTGAGCTCAAACTGTGTTGGAGTACAATTCAAGTGCAACAAAAAGATTTCATCATTGTCATCATCATCGGCATCAAAACAAGAGCAAACGTTGTCGCCGCATCACGTGAGGCGCTCTACCTCCACAGCGCAACATCACGATTTATCGAGAAAGTGCCCGCCGGTGGCGCCACCACCGACGACGTCCTCTACAATGCTGCTGGCGTGCTAGAGCAGCAGACGCAGCATTTTCTGTTCACCTGTACTCGAGACAACACAACGCTAAACAGAACGCCGTTTCTATTTCTCCCAACCTGAACTTGCCCGATCCTTGCGTCATCACCTGAGGTGAGTCCATCAGTGTTCACCACCACCAGCACCAGAATCAGCAGCAGCAGCTTCATTCCCTTACTATCCGTCACTCACACGCCACTCTTGTTTTCCAGTTTTTGTGATTTCCATTAAAAGCAACTTTCAACAAACCCGAGACACTATCAACAATGGCTCGCCGTGGACGTTCCGCCTCTCCCTCTGGCCGATCCTCCTTCGGTCCGCCTCGGGCCCCGGCCCGAGCTGCCCCAGCTCGTCAGGCGCCGCCGCCAGCCCGCGCTGCACCTCCGCCTCAGGCGCCCCTTCCAGCCCGTGCTCCGCCGGCGGCCGTCGGCGCCCCGGCCCCCGTCTCCCAGGGCCCTGGACTTATGGCGCAGATGGCTGCAACCGCTGGTGGCGTGGCCATCGGCTCCGCCGTCGGCCACACCATCGGTCACGCCCTGACCGGAGGTGGTGGCGGATCTTCAAACCAGCCCCAGGAGCAGCAGCAGCAGCCTCAGCAATATCAGCAACAGTACCAGCAGCCACCACCAGAGCAGCAGCAGGCGTGTGCCTTTGAGCTGAAGCAGTTCCTCGACTGCTCGCAGAGCTACGACCTGAGCCTCTGCGAGGGCTTCAATGAGGCGCTGAAGCAGTGCCGCCTGCAGAACCCGGGCGCCGGTGTGGGCAGCGCTCCCCGCAGCAACTGGTAATGCCCATTGAGGTATTTTCTCAATTCTGTTATCCTTTTCCAGAACTCACTGTAGAGCACACGCAAATCCTGTTGTCCTAGATCTAGAGAGCAATACACAATGTAGGACATTTTACCACCTTCTCTTTTTGTAAACACACACACACAAGCCCACTGTTTTTCTCAATTGAGCATTCTTGATTTACTGTCGGTTTTTCAAACAAGTTGAGTAATAATATCCTACAAACAATGCTGTAATAAAGAATAAAACAGTTGAACAGTGCGAGAATAGAATCAGAGAATAGTATCAGTAGTAGAGCACTTGCTTTCATTTGTTAAGAGAGGAGGAAAAGAAAGAGAGAACAGGGGGCGGTAAACAGGCAAAAGAAACAGAAAAAGGGGATACATGCAAAAGTTATCATCATCTCAGTCCGAAAGGTGTACAACAGTTAACAGCAGTTTTGTTGTTGCTAGCAGTGGGCGGCGATGAAGATGTTCTCCTTCTCGTCATCTCCATCCTCTGAGCCTCCTGATTCTTGAGCTTCAGAATTTTCTAGATGACGCTTTTTGCCACCCACGTAGCGGGCGACATTCGCCTCCACCAGGTAGGCGGAGAGCGAGCTGAAGTTGCTTTGCTGGTAGTGCTGGGAGTGACTAAAGTTGAAAACATTCTCGGAGTTGAGCTCGTCCAGCAACTCCAGCTCCGAGAGGGGCAGCAGATCACAGGTGAGGACGTTGGGGCGTTGGTTAGCATTTGAGGGCGTTTCTAGCGTGAGGAGGAGAAAGGTCCGGTTCTTCGTCTCCTTCTCGATGAGAAAGTTGGCGTAGCTGCTCCACTGCAGATAAGAGCCTTCCATAGCGGGCTTTCCACTGCCATCCTCCGCCGGCTTAATGTTGCCCAGCGAGCAGGGAAAGCAAAAGCCGGCGCCGTCGTTGAAGGCGTCAATCTCGCCGGTGGAGGGGCGGACGTACTTGCCGTTCCAGAGGACGATCTCCACCGAGCCAAAGTCGATTAGGCAAACCTGAATCAAAAAATAAAAGGGAATTAGGTTTTAGAAGTTCTAAAATAGAAGTCCTAGTGCCTTACCTTGGCGTTGATGGGCGTCCCGTCGACGCTGTTCGCCTGGTAGGAGAGCAACCGACCGCGGCACCAGCGGTCGCGGATCGTCGAGTAGACGAGGACCACCAGGTTTCGTCCGCCGTGAATGTTGGGCATTGGCTGGTGAGCGCTGCCGCCCGTTTCGATTTGGGCGTCAATCTTCGCCTGCAGCCGGCCAAAGGCCTCCTCATGTTCCGCCAGAAGACGACAGTAGAAGAGCACCGGACTCTCGACGTGGGTGACGAGGACCGCGGATTGCTGAGCAGCAGCAGCAGCTCCAGCGTTGGTTGATTCGGTGGTGGTGGTGAGACGAGCCATTTTGTTTGAAGAGTAAGGTAAAGAGTAAAGAGGTGAAAGACTTGAAGCGGAAAAACTTCAGGTAGGTGTTTTTGCCAAAAGGGAAGAAATCACAGCAGAGTAGAGACGATCGGTTCCAGCCCAAGCCTAACAAGCAGACCAAGTAGAAATAAGTTTGTTTTGACCACCAAACGAGTGGCGATCAGCAAAAAATCCGCGCTACGAGTTGATCATCGGTGCTGCTGGGTTTTGTTTTGTTTCTGATCTGGCGACGACGACGACGACGAGTCGATTGCTGGTGCGACCACCACAACGTTCCAGAGAGAAACGACAGCGAAACGACCACGACGACGACCACAACAAACAAACAACAAGGCTGGACGGAAAGTGATTCAACAGAGTCGCTTTGATGACGCAATCGAAGTCAGTGTTTGCAGTGTCTGCAGCAGGGAAAGCGATTTAGAGAGAGAGAGGAAGTGTGTTGTGGCGTGGATGGCAAAACAGAAGCAGAGAGAGAGAGAGAGAAAGCGGCACAGGCAAACCAGATCCGAAACGTGGTCATTTAATCGCGCGCGCTATTGCGCAATGACGCCAGAAGGTGGCGCCCTCGGAGGAAGAAGCAGCAGCAAAAAAATAAGCAGGTTCGAGGACTTTGAGTGTTGTTATCCTCCTCTCCTGAGACAGTTTCTGCTTTCTACTTTCTCTCTCCACAATTTGTCCTCTCTGCTGGACGTTATCACCTCGACCAAATGATCTGGCCGATTGTCGCTGCTGGAGCAGGAGCAGGACGACGACGTCGCCGCAGAAGCAGAAGTAGAAGTGGAAGAAGAAGAAGTGGTACAAAAGGCCAGGACGTAGCAGAGCAGAACTGCGGTGGTGATTATTATTACTGCTGTTGCGTCAGAAAGGATTAAAGCGAGAACAATATGGAAACAACAACAACGACAACAGCAGAAGCAATTCACGACTGGTCGGCGCAGTTGCGTCATCTGATTGCCCTCGATTCAGGTAAGGATTTTGTGTGTTTCGAAATGCTGAGAAAATTCTCAGATTCTTTTCTGATTTTACAGATTATAAAGATGATGGCTACGCCGTCGTCCTCCTCAATCACTGCTTCGACTGGCCGGCTCTTCGCTTTCAGGAGAACTCTGCCGCCTCGCTGGAACTCCCAAAGATTCGGCAGTTTATCCGCCTGTGGAATGGAGCGGCGGTCCGCCACGCCGTCGACGGCGGCACCAATTACCTCTTTGACCTTCAGCAGCAGCAGCAACAGTTGGCGAAGTCATCAAAAGAATCTTCAGGAGAGCTTCTAACCGATCCTCACCTGCTCACTGGCGACATGGACTCTGTGCGAGCGGAGGTGCTTACCAACTACAAACAAAACTCTATCACCGAGGTGATCGAGACGCCCGACCAGGATGAGACTGACTTCACCAAGGCAATTCAGGTGCTGGCCAGGCGCCTATCAACAACAACAACAACAACAGCATCTTCTCCAACAAAGGTCTCGACGATCATCGTCTTCTACACGGGCAGCACCTCCCGCCTCGACCACGGCCTCTCCATCTTCAGCACTCTGTACCGTTTCGGCGAGGACATCGACCAGGGCCGTCTGCCGCGGCTGGTTCTGGTCGACCTGGGCAGCTCCATCAGCTTTCTCCTCACAAAAGTAAGCGGTTTGGGTTCTATTTTCCTTCTTTTTTCTAAAACTCTTTTTTGTGCGGCAGGGCAAACACAGCATTCCCGCCGTCCCCTCCGCCCGCTGGTGCTCTCTAGTGCCGCTGAACGGGCCGGTCCGCCTGGTGACCACCGGTTTCCGGTGGAACCTCACCGCCGAGGACCAGCTCGAGTTTGGCCGCTTCATCAGCACCTCGCAGGAGTTCGACGGGCGTTCGGCGGTGGCCACCGTCGAGGTGCTCACCGAAAGGCAGCCTGCGGGTGGCCTGCTCTTTTCGGTTGATTTCAGCTGAAGTCTAGAGTCGGCTCCGCAAAAGTGTGTGGAAAGGATTGCTCATCTTTTTTATACCAAAATAAAATACGAAAGGATTGCTGCACATCAGAAATGTCGCCAAAGCGCACACTGGTCTTCTTGGCCATTGGGCGTTGCCATGGCGGCACCAATGAACAAGGCAGTAGTTCCACCTCTCTTTTGTCAGCCTTTTGTTCAGCTCACAGCTCGCGCGCGTTGTGAAGGCATTGCCAACCAGGCGTGGCAACGCAGGTTGCTCGGTGCAATGCTACGCTCAAACGCAAAAAAGCTCAAAAAAAGGAAAAAAGAGCAGCAGCCAACTCATCAACTCTTCTGCGTACTCTCTCCAGCGGTGCTGGATCCTCCTTTTGTCTATCATCGGATCTTTAAAAGAAGAAGAAGAAGAAGAACAGGAACAAAGAATGAATAAAAAAATGAAGAAGGAGGCTCACCAGCAGGAGATCACCACCACCACCACCACCACCAAAACCGTTGAGATGAAGAAAGAAGAGGAGGAGGAGGAGGAAGAGGAGGAACTCCCGAAACCTCCAGTTCAGCAGCAGCAGCAGCAACAACAGCTTGATGAGGCGACCATTGGGAAGGCCAGGGAGAAGCAGGCCTTCCTCAAGGCCACCTACGCCTNTGAGGAGGAGGAGGAAGAGGAGGAACTCCCGAAACCTCCAGTTCAGCAGCAGCAGCAGCAGCAACAGCTTGATGAGGCGACCATTGGGAAGGCCAGAGAGAAGCAGGCCTTCCTCAAGGCCACCTACGCCTTCGCCCTCAGCAGGCTCCGAAGATTGCGCCATGTTCCGGAATGGCAGGTCCTCTACTCCGCGCTCAATGCCGAGCAAATATCCGATCAAACGGTTCGAGAACTCGATCAGTTAGAGAAGTGGCTGCAGTGTTTTATGATGAAGAAGCGGGAACTTGAACGGCTACAACAATTGACGCAGCAGCAGCAGCAACAACAGCAACCGCAACAGCAACCAAATTTTGGTTTCATTCTACAGTGTCAGACAGTGCCGACATTGTTGTGCCCAGTGACCGAGAATGCCACGACCAGCGTTGCCACGACCAGTGTGGCGTCGCTGAAGCAGGAGCTGAAGGAGCTACCTCAGCAAAAACCCAATTCAG